TTTTTTTTTTTTTCAATCTTTATCCTCTTCCTTATGTTTGTCGTGTCTGGGATTTCGAAACATGAAAAAAAAAACAAAAAAACAAACAAACATAATCACGATGACGTCATCCGATGAGCAGCGGCGGCGGCAAAATTCAGACACCACCAACTGGCCCACGGTAGCTGAGGTGGTATGCACTCCTACACTGTTGAAATACAGACCTAAGTTCTTGTTTTTTTTTTTTTTTTTTCGGGAGACAGACCTAAGTTCAAACTCCACAGGAAGGATTAAATAAATAGGGGAAAAAAAAAAAAAAAATCACAGACACCTGTCCTGCCCCTGCTCTTCGCACGTGGCATGTTCACCTTCCCCTCCTCTTCACACCATTCTCCTCCTCCTCCTCCTCCTCCTCCTCTCCTCCTCCTCCTCTCCTCCTCCTCCTCTTCACACCATTTTTCTCCTCCTCCTCCTCCTCCTCCTCCTCCTCCTCACACCGTTTCCCCTATCCTCCTTCTCGTCCTCCTCCTCCTCCCACCATTGCCCCTATCCTCCTCCTCCTCCTCCTCCTTTTTCCCCTTCTCCCCTTCTGCCTTGCCTCCTCTCCTCCGACGAAACACTTTGTCCCATCCCCCCTCGTTTGTTGTCCTCTTCTCCCTCTCCCTCTCTGCCTACGGTTTACCGTAGAGCAGCTCTGTGTGACGATATATATAACTTTGTGACGATATCCCGTCGTTTGGCCTGTGTGTGTTGGGGCGGTGCTTGCATGTGGGACTTGTCATCTGGGATCTGTTTTGTTGGCCCCCTGTTCTGTTTTATTTGGCTGTTCCCTTCCTCTTTTCTTTGCCTCTTTGCCTTTTGGCTGTGTGCAAGTGGGTCGATATGACACACGGGGGTGGGGGCAGCCGCCTCTCAACCTACATCCACGTGGGCGGCCTTGTACGCAAGAGGTTCTGAACAGGGGGAGTTATAAGGAAGAAGATAAAAAATCATTTTCTTTTCTTTTCTTTTTTCTTTTTTTCGCTTTTTCGCTGTGATACCTTTGTGACAATATAGATATATAGATATAGATAGATATAGATATATATGTGATGATATATATGTGGCTGTGTGCAAGTGGGTCGATACGACACACGGGGGTGGGGGCAGCCGCCGCTCAACCTGGCGGCCGGCCTTGTACGCAAGAGGTTCTTTTTGAACAGGGGGAGTTGTAAGAAAGAATATAAATTATGATTTGATTTTTTTTTCTTGTTTTTTTTCGCTTTTACGCTCTGATATCTTTAAGATGAGATATATATTGTCACATGATATCAGAGCGCCGAAGCGAAAAAAGAAAGAAAAAAGAAAAAAAAGAAAAACTGAATTCATTTTTAATCTTCTTCCTTACAAGACTCCCCCTGTTCAGAACCTCTTTTGCGTACAAGGCCGCCCACGTGGATGTAGGTTGAGCGGCGGCTGCCCCCAACCCCGTGTGTCATATCGACCCACTTGCACACAGCCAAAAGGCAAAGCGGCAAAGAAAAGAGGAAGGGAACAGCCAAATAATACAGAACAGGGGGCCAACAAAACCGATCCCAGATGACAAGTCCCACATGCAAGCACCGCCCCAGTCCTACACAGGCCAAACAAGCGACGGGACAAGACCAACCAGGATGTCAAAACATTCTTGTCTGCAAAGAAAATAAAAAAGAACCCGGAGGACAGGTATAAAAAACAATCCTGGATGATGAGTCCCACATGCACGCACCGCCCTGCTTGGTTTCTCTTCATCCGCTTAGTTATATGCTTAAATTGGGCGGGTGCTCCCGCCCGACCTGAGATCAAGTCTGGGCTATTCCCGGTTCGCTCGCCGCTGGTACAGATGCTTGTTTAGACGTTCATATGGGGTTCGTTCCCTTGACAAGGGTGTCAAGGTTACGGCCAAATGAAACAGTTTACCCTGCAGCTTTTCTATGATGTGAGGGATGCCGGACCTGCTTTCCGGCTTGTATAATTCCAAAGCAGCTGTTGTATGAACCAGGCCGGAGTGCCTGGATCATGCGACATTGCCTGCAAAAAAAAAAAAAAAAACAACCAACCAGGATGCCAAAACAATAAAAAAGGCCGGATATATATATCGTCACACTGAGAACATATATGCCGATCGTCCTCTTGCGGCTAGATCGACCCTGTGGTCTCGCCTGCCATGATTTTAAAATTTTAAATTTTGAAATTTAAAATTTATTTTCCGATCTTTCTTTTGGGTATGAGCGAAAGCGAGACTGCCCGACAAAAAAAAAAAAAAAAAAATGCCCGGCAACGAACGTTCACCGCCGCCGCCCATTTCTTTTTTTTTCCTTCTTTTTTTTTTTTGTTTTTTTTAAATGCACGGATACTTCGCTGTTTCTTCGCTGATCATTCATTGATGATTCATCCCTACACCGTGCTCTGCTGCTGGGACATATAATGTTTTGTTTTCACACATCTTTCACAAGTTCTCTTTATTCGTTGTGGCCTGCCACGTGGCAGGCAAGCATTCCGTGACGGTATATATTTATTTATCACAAATTGATACGTCAAAAGTATGGTTTGGACCGCCCTCCCCCCCCCCCCCCCCCCCCCCCCCCCCCCCCCTCCTCAAATAGGGAAGAAGGTTTAGGGTTTGGACCTGGATGGTGATGCATGGCCTGGTTCATCCCAGAGCCGCACCAATTAAATCTTTGTAGAGAAAAAAAAAGAAATAATAATAATAAAGGGACGCTGGGTCTGATTCCCAGCATTTTAAATACAAGATGTGTTTTTAAGAAAGAAAAGGAAAAAAAAAGAACAAAAAATAAAAATAAAAATAAAAACAAAGGCGATGCATGGCCTGGTTCATCCCAAAGGGTCGCACCAATTAATTCTTTGGAGAGAAAGGAAAAAAAACAAAGGAACGCTGGGCCTGATTCCCACCATTTAAAATATAGGATGTGTTAAAATAAATAAATAAAATGAAAAATAAAGAAGATGCATGGCCTGGTTCATCTTTTTTTTTTTTTTTTTTTTTTTTAGGGCCTGGTTCATCTCAAAAGGTCGCACCATTCAATTGTTTGGAGAGGGAAAAAAACAAAGGGAACCTGGGCCCGATTCCTAGGCTACCAGCCGGGCCGCCCGGGTCCCGGG